CTCCTACCAATATGGTTCAAAATAAAGATACTAAACATAAGAGCTTAATTGGACTTAAATTTATACAAAATAAAAATAAAAATGATGAAATACAATTTTCATAGAATGTTACCAAGATTTTTCCAAGGAATCTCATAAGGCAGAAAAAAAAAAACATTTGGATAATGAAAGTAAACAAAAATATAACTTTTCAATACATTAAGATTTCCTGTCCATCATACAATCCACTACATAGCCTTAGGGTCGCGTTACCTCGCGACTTAGGTGGTGACGGTACCGTTACCCAAAACATAACCATAGGAACATAGCTCATGTCATCGTAGCACTTAAATTCTTGTTTCAATGTTTCGATCCCCGGGACCCCTTATACATACAACGACCCTTATGGTCCTTAAAACATTTCGGTCCCCAGGACCCCAAAGCATTTTGGCCCTTGTGGCCCCAAAGGCTATATTCGGTTATATGATCAATAAAATAAATACCCTCACATAACATTTCACTGTCATTCAATCATCATCATCATAAAATTTGAAAGACTCAACTTAAATAAATTCTCATAAAAAAAATAATGCTTCATTATACAAATGAAATCATATCTTTATTAAAACTCAACCCTTGGCCTCAATAAATTTATAGATTTTCTTTTTATACATATATCATGATGAAATGTATCATTCACTTCCTTTAATTCAAAAATTATTTTCAAACTTTGTAATAAAGATAGAGGTAAGGTAATTTCCAAACATCTACAAAAATGATCCTAAATAAGTTATGTTATGGAATGACAAGCTAAAGAACTCCTCCAACTTCAAGTCACCCAAACAAAATAACTTATCCAATCTCTACAACACTCATCCTTTGTACATTTTTGAGTTAGTAACTTTTTAAATATCCAATCAATTTATATGCACAATACCACCATCAATTTACTACAAAAGTCAAAAATCAACATTTTTGTATAAACTCAACAACTTAAGTAAAATCTCTTCAATCACTTATAAAATTCCTCCATAGAACATAGAGATACCCAATCCATCATTTATCAACTCAATTTCAACATATAAATTCCCTAACACCAAAATCCCCAATTTTTACATCACATTCAAACCCTAGATTAACCCAAAATCTTAATCTCCAAATCAACCATCAAATTGACCATTTTTTTTTTTTTAAACATGTAAAACATTCATGGAAACTAATTGAGAATATAAAATTCAACAAGCAAACCCCAAATCATAATAGATCTAAAACACAAAAATTTCATCATCTCTAACTGAAAATATGTAAAACTTTAAACTAAACTTTTAGAGAAAGATTCTTACTAATTACAAGCCTCTAATCCATCAAGAAAATAAATCCCATGCTTTGATTCTTCAAAGGATTAAGAAAAATCTAGAGTTGGTGCTTCTATTGTGTTATTTTCGGATGGATTTAAGGAGTGGCCGACCGGACTCTTTTTCCGGCGAGATAAGGTGGCCGGAGGTGGTGGAGATGGTTGGTCAAGGTGGTGGTGTAAGGGTGGAGCAAAAGTGTGGTGTTTGGCCTCCAAGAAAGTAAAGGAAAATGAGAGAGAAAGTAGAGAGAAGTTAGAGAATGAAGAATGAAGAAAAAAAAATCTGCACTTCTATTTTTTTTTTTTGTGTTGAAATGGGGTGTTTGGTCACACCTACCATCAATTTTGGAGTTGGGTTTAGATATCCTAAATGGAGTTTAACATAGGAGTGTGTTTGGCTCTAGATGAAAAGTTGGGAATATTATAATTCTCCCCCCCTAAAGGAAAATTTCGTCCACGAAATTTATTCATTTGTTTAGTCTAGTTCATACCTTGAAAAAGATGTGGACATCGAATTTTCATACCATCCTCCCGCTCCCATGTAGCTTCCTCCAAAGCATGATTTTTCCACAATACCTTTACTAGTGGTATGGTCTTGGAACGTAGTACTTGATCCTTCATGTCCACAATCTCTACATTTGTTTAGTCTAGTTCATACCTTGAAAAAGATAAGGATATCAAATTTTCATAGCATCCTCCCGCTTCCAAGTAGCTTCCTCCAAAGCATGATTTTTCCACAATACCTTTACTAGTGGTATGGTCTTGGAACGTAGTACTTGATCCTTTATGTCCACAATCTCTATGGCTTCCTCTTCATAAGACAAATCATCCTTGAGTTGGATTGGTTGGAAATCTAACACGTGTGATGAGTCAGGCATGTACTTCTTCAACGTGGATACATGAAACACATTGTGAATGCGAGATAGACTAGGTGGTAAGGCCAAACGATAAGCAGTCTTGCCAATGCGCTCTAGTATCTCAAATGGCCCAATATACCTTAGACTTAGTTTGCCTTTCTTACCAAATCACATCACTCCCTTCCATGGCGAGATTCGTAAAAATACATGATCTCCCACTTGAAATTCCAAATCCCTCCTCCGATTATCTACATAGCTCTTTTGTCTACTTTGAGCCACCTTCAACCTTTCTCGAATAATATGCACTTTATCGGTAGTAATTTGAACAATCTCTGGCCCTAATTATTTTCTCTCTCCAACCTTATCCCAACATACTGGAGTTCTACATCTTCGCCTATGTAAAGCTTCATAGAGAGCCATCCCAATACTTGATTGATAACTATTATTATATGCAAATTCTATTAAGGTTCATCCCAACTACCTCGAAAATCTAGGACACAAGCTCTCAACATGTCTTCTAAAGTTTGAATTGTCCTCTCGGATTGCCCGTCGGTTTGGGGGTGAAAAGCTGTACTGAATCCCAATTTAGTACCCAAGGCATTTTGAAGACTAGGCCAAAAGTGGAACGTGAAGCGCGAGTCTCTGTCTGAAACAATAGATACCGGCACACCATGCAATCTCACAATTTCATCCACATAAATTTTTGCTAATCGATCAAGTGAAAAGTTTTTCTTAGTAGCCAAAAAGTGTGCAGATTTGGTCAACCTATCCACAACAACCCAAATAGAGTCATGCCCCTTCTGTGTGCGAGGCAGGCCCGAAACAAAATCCATGGCAATATGCTCCCATTTCCATTCAGGTATAGGAAGAGGTTGAAGTAAACCAGCTGGGCATTGATGCTCTGTTTTAATCTGCTGACATACCAAACACCTTGACACGAATTCTGCTATTTCTCTCTTCATATTTGGCCACCAATAACTTTCTCTTAAATTTCGATACATCTTTGTACTCCCCGGATGCATTGCATAAGGTGAATTATGGGCCTCATCTAATATCTCCCTTTTTATCTCGGGCTCATTTGGAACACATAACCGATTTTTAAACATCAACACACCATCTTCTTTAATAATAAAGTCTAACAGAGTACCATCTTTCACTCGAGCTCGGGTCTTCTCCAAAATTGAGTCTTTCCCTTGGGCTTCTCGAATGCGATCCACTAACAAAGGTCTCACTTTAATTGTAGCTAACAAGGATCCCGACTTCCCAACTGCTAGATCAACTCCAATAGATTTTATTTCATGTAAGAGACTAAATTGAATGCCCTGAATGTGAGTTAATTTCCCTGTAGATTTTCGGCTAAGAGCATCGGCCACCAAATTAGCTTTTCCTGGGTGATAATTAATGGTGCAGTCATAGTCCTTAATCAGTTCAACCCATCTCCTTTGCCTCAAATTTAAATCCCTCTGTGTGAATAAATATTTCAAACTCTTATGATCAGTATATATCTCACATTTTTCCCCATATAAATAATGTCTCCATAACTTTAAAGCAGAAACAACTGCTGCGAGCTCTAAATCATGGGTGGGATAATTGCGTTCATGGTTCTTCAATTGTCTAGATGCATAGGCCACTACCTTTCCATGTTGCATCAACACACAACCGAGCCCTTGATGAGAGGCATCACTATAAACAATAAATCCTTCACCACTTAACGGAATAGTAAGCACTGGGGCAGAAGTTAATCGCTTCTTTAATTCTTGAAAACTCTTTTCACAATTCTCCGTCCACTCAAATTTGGTATTCTTACGGGTCAAATGTGTTAATGGTGCCGCAATCAATGAAAACCCCTCTACAAATCTACGGTAGTAGCCTGCCAACCCTAAAAAGCTCCTCACCTCGGTCACGTTAGTAGGACGATCCCAATTCACCACAGCCTCTATTTTCTTCGGATCCACAAAAATACCTTCACCCGAAATCACATGCCCCAAAAATACAACACGATCTAACCAAAACTCACATTTGCTAAACTTCGTATACAACTTCTTTTCTCGTAAAGTCTGCAATACCACCCGCAAGTGTTGTTAATGATCCTCTTGACTCCTGGAATAAACAAGTATGTTATCAATAAATACAATCACAAATTGGTCAAGGTATGGTTGGAACACTCTATTCATAAGGTCCATAAATGCGGTGGGGGCATTAGTTAGACCAAAAGGCATAACAAGAAATTCATAATGGCCGTAGCGAGTTCGAAAAGCAGTTTTCGGTATGTCTTCTTCCTTAATCTTAAGTTAGTGATACCCTGATCTGAGATCGATTTTGGAGAACACACATGCTCCCCGAAGTTGATCAAACAAATCATCTATACGAGGCAAAGGATACTTATTACGCACCGTGACCTTATTCAACTGCCGATAGTCAATGCACAATCTCATGGTGCCATCTTTTTTCTTCATAAATAACACAGGTGATCCCCATGGCGAGACACTTGGCCTAATGAAGCCTTTATCCAATAACTCTTGCAATTATATCTTAAGCTCCTTAAGTTCCATTAGGGCCATACGGTAAGGTGCACTAGAAATTGGGGCAGTTCCAGGAATTAAGTCAATATCAAACTCAATTTCTCGATCTGGGGGTAATCCAGGTAGTTCATCAAGAAAAACATCTATGAAGTCACACACAATTGGTATATCCTCCAATCTTGGACCACTCAATTCGGAGTCAATCACATAGGCTAAGTATCCTTGGCACCCCTTCTTAAGCATTTTTCTAGCGGTAATAGCAGAAATAACATAAGATGGGGATGCACATCAATCTCCACAAAATCTAAATTCAAGTTCCCCAAAATTGGAAAATACTACCTCTTTCCTATAACAATCCACCGAAGCATGGTAAGAAGCCAACCAATCCATTCCCAAAATCAAATCAAAATCAAGCATCTCTAAAGGCAATAAATCCGCTACCATCTCCCTATTTCCCAACTGTAATAAACAACCTCGATATACCTCCTCAATTATAACACAATCCCCAATAGGAGTAGTAATGGATAAGCAATAGCCTAGAGGTTCAATAGGTTTATCAGCATGCAAAGAAAATGATAGAGATACAAAAGAATGTGTAGAACCTGGATCAATAAGTACATGTGCCTCCCTACTGAACACATAAATAATACCTGTTACCACCTCCGGATTAGCCTGAGTATCCCGCTGAGTCAAAGCAAAAGCTCTCCCCTGCGAGGTTTGTCTATCGGATTGAACACCTCCTTTATTCTGCTTGCCAAACCTAGTCCCAACTTGACCTCCTCCTCGGCTTCCCCCTCGGCCGGCACCGGAAATTTTATTACTACCAACTCCAGTACTAGCAGATGAAGCAGTTCGTGTGCAATATCTAGCCTAATGTCCGGGTTGTCCGCAATTGAAGCAAGCTTGTGTATCTCCCAAATTATCCATTTTAGGAACTGTGCAATCTTTCACCAAATGACCCTTCTGGCCACAACGAAAACACAAGTCGGTACCAGCATAACAAACACCTGTATGTGCCCGCCCACATTGCTTGCAAACACTTCGAGTAAACTGAGATGATGTCCCACTAGACTGTCCATGACGCTGATTAGAAATGCTTTGGGTTAGGGTGGGATGCTCTCTATTTTTTTGATATGCACTAGAGCTCTTGACTGAACCATAACCATGACCACCTCTCTTTGACGGTCTATTAGATGTGTTCTCATGATGGGATGAACTAAGGTGGCGCTTCTTCTGTTGTTCCACTAACTTCATTTCTATGACATCTTTCTTAGCTGTTAAGGCTTTATCAACCAAGGTTGAATAGTTAGTTATTCCCAATACTCGGATACGAGATTTGATGTCCAAATCCAACCCATCTGTAAAACGACGACATTTGACCTCCTCATCATCCACAAACGAAGGGGCAAAACGAGATAAAGAAATGAACTTAGCTTCATATTGAGCTACAGTCAAATCCCCTTGCTCTAGCCGAAGGAACTCTCTTTCTTTTTCATACCGATAGGTAGCTGGAAAGTACTTGTCATTGAAAACCTTAGTGAATTGGTTCCAGGTCAATCCTCCGGTGCCACTTGCCGTAAGTAGGCGTTGCGTGGCCTCCCACCAATATTCAGCCTCCTCCACCAGCATAAAACTAGCAAGTGCAACTCGCTGCTCGTCTGATACTTCCATCACAGAAAATATCTGCTCTACCCTCCTTAACCAGGCCTCTGCCTCCATAGGATTGGGCGATCCAGAAAATGATGGAGCCCCCAACTTCTTGAACCTCTCAATTGCGGTGAGGCGGATCTCTGTAGGTTGCACAAATGGCCTTGACTGTGCTGCATTCTGTTGTTCAAGGATGTGAGTCTGCCTCTCCGCTAGGCTAGCCATTGACTCTAAAAGGCGCTGCACACTAGGGTCTAAAAATGCTGGAGCTGTGTCAACCCTTGGTGGTACGACTCTATCTGAATGTCCCACTTCTGGATTGGCACTTGACTCTTGAGTTTGCTCATTATGCGATTCATGTTCATATATATATACACTAGTGGATGTCTGTGCCTAAAAATACGGTGTAAATAATGTTGGTATCACATACTTTACAAAAATTAATTAAAATAAATCAATTCAAAATGATAACAATTTCACTGCTACAGAAATCAACTGTAATAAATTAATTCAAAATGACAATAATTTCATTGCAATATAAAACTTTACACATAAGTCGAAATAGCAAATTACAATTTTGGCAAACTTCATAATTAAAGTTTAAATAGCAAATTTATAATATAAAAATGTTGTGTACAACATAAACAAAGATATTTACGCCAAA